TGGGGTTGTTAACCAATGTCATAAAACAATATGTGTACTGGCTGTTTAATGAGAAACTATTTGTTCTGTAAACCTTCACCTAAAGTACAATTAAAAAATTAAAAAAAAACAATCTGTGACATTGAGCAAGTTTTTTTTCAACTCATTTGTAAAATGAGAGAATTAGACTAGATCATGTCTCCTGAAGTATAAAATTATTTGCTTTTGGATTTCGTTGTTGGAAAATGGCAAAATTTTTCATGGAAAAGTTTTTTTTTTTTTTTTTTTTTTTAAGTAGGAAAATTTAAAAGCTTGGAAATGAAATAATCAGAGAACTCTTTGGTTTTCCTTCCTCTGCTAAACTTATAGGATCCTAAGGAGATAGATCTAGCAGTACTATATAGGACAGTTTGAAGAAGAAAAAGACTGAAGGCAAGAAAATAATTTGTGTTTGAGCCTAAAATAAAATGGAGATTTAAAGAAAGTTAATGGCATTTTGCGAAGAGAGGGGAAATAATATGAGAGGTATAATAGAGGTACACTCAGAAGGACTTGGCAGCTGACTGAATATTCTAAATCGAATAAGCACAGGAAGTATTACTCTTTTATATTTACATGTTCTTTTATGTTGTCATATAAGTGACCTGATTTAGTGATGACTTTCTATTTTGTATTACTCAGAGAGAGTTTCTAGTGACGCAAATTGGTACATGTAATTCATCCAACAAATATTTATCGAGGACCTAGTATGTTGTTCTAGGTATTGGGATACAGCAGTGAACAAAACAAACAAGGCCCTGGCTCTTGTAAAGCTTAGATTCTAGGACTGGTAATGGTAGGGAGGAAGAAATAAAGAAGAAAATAACAGCTAAAAAAAGGATTATGAAGGAAATGAACCAGACTGATGTGATAGAGAATACTTAGAAGGCTAGGGAAAGCCTCTATAGGAGGCTGCCTTTGGGCTGAGGCCTGAATGATCAAGCACGAAGAGGCAAGGTAAGAATATCCCAGGTAGAGGGAACAGATAGTACATGGAGCCAAGGGTGGGGATTATGGCTCGACATGTTTTGGGAATTGAAAGAAGCCAGTCTGGCCAGGGCATAGTGACCTAAAGGAGAGTAGTCAGATACATGATGAGAATTTGTGTAAATTCATGGCATGATGCTAACTCCGAAAAACTCATCCATGATATCTCCTTGGCCTTGTTGAAACTTTACAACCCAGTATATAACATCCCAAGGAGCCCTGGTGACACAAATGGTTAAGCACTCAGCTGCTAACAGAAAGGTTGGTGGTTTGAACCCACCCAGCAGCTCCATGGGAGAAAAGACCTGGCGATGTGCTCCCATAAATATTATAGCCTAGAAAACCCTATGGGGCAGTTCTACTCTGTCGGATGGGGTCACTATGAGTCGAAATCCACTTGGCATCTAACAACAATAATATATGACCTCCCTTATAGCGGTGGAGCCCTGGTGGTGCAGTGGTTAAGAGCTGTCTGCTAACCAGAAGGTCAGGGGTTTGAATCTACCAGCTGCTCCTTGGAAACCCTATGGGACAGTTCTACTCTGTCCTGTAGGGTCACTATGGGTCAGAATTGACTCAATAATAACAGGTTTTTTCTTTTTTTTCTTATAGCAGTAATAGTTGGTAAAACCACATTGATTCTCTTTTTATCATACCAACTCCCAGTTTTTCAGAGGAGAAAACTGAGGCTTAAAGACATCCAGGTACTTGCTTAAGCTCACATGGCTTGTAAATTGCAGAGCCAGGATTCACATTATGTCTTATGATTCCGGGACATGAACAGTTTCCACTTTCCATAGTGTCACCTTCCCTTGTTATATAATCCTAGAAGAATAACAGAGAGTTACCTCTGATCAGAGAGCCTGCAGAAGGGTCTGTAACTGAGGATATGTGTTTTAATCTAACGGTAGTGAAAGAATCCTCTAGTTCTGGCGGACACACCCTTGCCTGCACTGAGTTTTAGAGGTAGAGATGTAGAAGAGAGTAGTATTGGCAGATAACTGGTCTAGTTATGACGTGCTTATTTTTCCTTTGCATGAGAGTCTTCTAGCAGCTTTTTGCTTTTATAATCCCTTGATTTGACAATTCTCCAACAAAATCCATTTTATGTATCTGGACTGAATGGAATATACCGTAAGACACCATGGCATTTTTAAACAAACATGGAAGGTGGTAAATAAGTGGGCATTTACTCATGAGTACTATATTAGGTATTTCTGTACTTTGCCCTCCATTAAGTTAACAGCGAAGCCTGGGCCATTGAAATCCAGCCTTCCCTCAACAACTACAGCCACATATTAACCGTGTCCAGCCTGAACCTTTCTAATAGAGCCATTTTTTAGGATGGATTGTGAATCTCTCCTATCAGCAGATCCCCTGCTTTCTAGTCCCAGCCTAACCACCCCCCCACCTTCTCACCCCCCACCCCCGCTACTTGTAACTTTGAGTTCTGAATATGCCTATCTAGGAGCCAGTTGGGATCTGTGTTTATGATGCATCCCCAAATCCAGGCATCCGGTTAAATGAGAGCCCTCGTTGGAGACATATTGTACCTCTCTCTCTTCAGAGAGGAGCATTTGCTGCTTGCTGGGGGCTTTCTGACTGATGCAGGGGGGCGAGGAAGGAGAGTTGGCTGGCGTTTGGGAGCAGATTTAGAGCCGCTTTTCTTTGGAGGGGTTCGCTTTTCCTGAGCTGCCAGACACTGCAGGCTCAACTGAGGCGCGGAGGTGCAATTCAGGCTGGTGGAGCAGCGGAGGAAGGCAGGGACAGGCGGGGCTAGAGCGGCTCTGCAGCTGATCACACGCACCAGCACACACCACACTCCTGCTGCCCCTTCTCCCATTTCGCATCCACCACCCCGGGCCACTAAGTGCGGACTGGGAGTAGGGAATGCAGGAAGGAAGAGGCAGAGGTTTCCACTGGGAGACAGGAAAATCTGGAGCGGCGCTCGTGTTTAACCTGAAAGTCTGACCCGCAGCCCGAGGCTGAACCCCATCCAGCGGCACTGCTGCCTCCTGGAAGGAGGGCACAGCTCCAGGGAACCCCGGAATCCCGCGCCCAAGTCAGTCTGTTGTCGGCGCGCCAGGGTCCTTCTCGCGGGGGCAGCCAAGTGCCCTCAGGAAGGTGCGGAGCTTGGGGAACCTGCATTAGCGCCCATCGTGGTACACCAGGAAAACTGGGGGCGAAGAAAACAGCCGCGAACGCAGAGTGCGAAGCCAGCCTGCCCCTGCCGCTGCCGCTGGCCGCACCACCTCCTGCCTTTTCCCGCTGGGTGAGTGTCCGGGCTTCGCACACGGCCGCGTCTCCGCTGGGCGCGGGGCAGCCTGGGGTTCCTTGCGGGTCCGGCCGAGGGTCCTAGCGGCGTCCGCGGAAACTCGGTGGCCCCCGGACGCCAGGACAAGTCTCTGGAGTCCGGAGCGGGAGACTCTGAGCCAGGAAGATTTAGGGAGGGGGTGTTGCACCAGAGCCCGGCAGACATGCCTTTGGGCTGGATTTTGGCCAAAAGATAGGAGGCAGCAGCGCCGGGGGTGGGGGTGGGGGGCGATAGCCATCACCCGGGCGGGGAGAGCCAGGAGCCGCGGGGAAGGGGGAGGGTTTGGTCAAGGCAGGTAGCGCAGCATCGGCAGCCTGGCGAGTTGGCAAGTGGGTGAGAGTTGCTTGTCAACTCATTAATTTTCAAATAGTCCAGTTTTGGGGTGCTGTAGAATAGTCAGGAGAGGCGAGGAAAGGCAAGAGGTGGCCCGGGATGCCCGTGGTGAGGGAAGAGAAGAGAAGCCTCGAAAAGCTCGGAGGCAAAATTGCGCTTCGGTTCCTGGTCTTTACATCCCTCCTGCCTTGAGTGTGAGAGAACACTTTTTTAAGACTTAGCTGGGAAAGAAAGCTTCCTTCCCAAGGGAGAAGCAAACGCGTCTGCAGGGGGCAGAGACCGCAGCTACCTGGCCGGTGCGTCCCCCACCTCAGGCGCGCCTGCTTTTACTCCCCCCTGCTTTTATCCCCCACCCCCACCTCCTTATTGGTGCTGGTTTACAGCGCTCGGCTCCTGCGCCTTCGCTTCGCGTTTGAATCTGGCTCGCCCCTCCGTATTATGTCTGCACTCCGAAGGAAATTTGGGGACGATTACCAGGTAGTGACCACCTCGTCAAGCGGCTCGGGCTTGCAGCCCCAGGGGCCAGGCCAGGGCCCGCAGCAGCAGCTTGTGCCCAAGAAGAAGCGGCAGCGGTTCGTGGACAAGAACGGCCGGTGCAATGTACAGCACGGCAACCTGGGCAGCGAGACTAGCCGCTACCTTTCGGACCTCTTCACCACCCTGGTGGACCTCAAGTGGCGCTGGAACCTCTTCATCTTCATCCTCACCTACACGGTGGCCTGGCTCTTCATGGCGTCCATGTGGTGGGTGATCGCCTACTCCCGGGGCGACCTGAACAAAGCCCACGTAGGCAACTACACGCCCTGTGTGGCTAATGTCTACAACTTCCCCTCTGCCTTCCTCTTCTTCATCGAGACCGAGGCCACCATCGGCTATGGCTACCGCTACATCACCGATAAGTGCCCTGAGGGCATCATCCTCTTCCTCTTCCAGTCCATCTTGGGCTCCATCGTGGACGCCTTCCTCATCGGCTGCATGTTCATCAAGATGTCCCAGCCCAAGAAGCGCGCCGAGACGCTCATGTTCAGCGAGCACGCGGTGATATCTATGAGGGACGGCAAACTCACGCTCATGTTCCGGGTGGGCAACCTGCGCAACAGCCACATGGTCTCCGCGCAAATCCGCTGCAAGCTGCTCAAAGTAAGTGCAACCCGACCGTTCCCCACCTGGCGACTGTCAGACCCTCCCCCTCCCGCACCGGAAATTTACTCACCTGAGATCTGCCCTGTCCCCAGTTTTACCTATCGCCACAGGTTAATTCCTTTTTTTTTTTTTTAAATGGGTTGGGGGAGTGTTGGAGGCTTGAGCAAAGATAAAACACAGTTCTGTTCTCACTCTCGCGCTCTTATTCTGGGTGTGCAAGTCTCACTTGGTAACACTTAAAGAGTGGTGTTGGCTCCCGGAGCCCTGGAGTAAAGAAGCGCCCTGTTCTCCTGCACTTGTTGCTTGTCTCGTTAGAGCACGTTTGTTTTGCAGTCAACACACTATTCCATTAAACTTGAGGTGCCAGAACTGAGCAGTTTTTATTTTGAAGAGATAGGTGCTGAGCTTGCCTCAACTTTCACTTAGGACTTTTTTTTCCTTCCAATACTATTAGTAGATGGATTATTTCTCTGTACCTAATAACATTAACTCTGTGTATGATCATCTTTTAAATGAGTACACAGATCCAGGAAGCAGTTAAGGTGGAAGAACCCACACCTGGTTCTTTTAAATTTTTATTTTTACTAGATATTTTCCTAGAGATGTATTCTGTGAAAGCTTGAGTGCTTTTCCTGTAAAGCCTCTTGTTAATTTTATTCTTAATGACTGTTTTGATGAAGGCTTTGTCGATTACAGATTTCACTTGAAGCTCTTTAGCATCCATTAAAGAGGATTGCTTCCTCCCATCAGCAGTGGAAATGCTAAAACAAATTACACATGGAGAGATTATTAAAGCAAGGTCCACCTCGTCGTTAGAGGGCGCCACAGCAAGCAGGAGAATCATCCGATTAGAGCCAGGGAATGAGAGATTAAAGCCCAGTTTCTTTATATGAGTCATTTACAATTTATTTTTCTGAGGGACTGGACTTAGGCAATTTTCAAATGTTTGTAAGGTGAAAAAGATGACCTCAAAAAATATTAAAAGATTTCTCTGAGACTGTATAAAGAACCATAACTGGATTCAGAATTTAGTATTAATAAAATGCAAAATCTTATAATACCTTTAGTTGAAATTTTTTGTCTTTAAAATTTCAATTTCCAGTATGCAAGTATACATTGTTTTCCTCAGCCCCAGCTGATGTTGTAGTTCAAAGTGAGCCAATGTGCTTTTAAGAAGTTTTGCTCTTGTGTCATTCTCATTATTCATTTGTAAAATCTTACCCTAATAACTCTCGACCATGTTGCTCAGTTAAGTGTTAGAATTAAAGCAGTTCAGTTGTCCTGTCACTTCACATCATAAGCATATTTACTTTCCAATATACAGTCAATAAGCTGTGAGTTTTGTAGAGCACGGTGGGAAACTATCAGCCTGGTTTTGATGCACATGTTCATTATGATAATTATGAATTAATACTTTGAGTAGATCATATTCTTTTATAATTAACTCCAATGAACTGCATACAAGTTTTTATATAACAGCATATAGTTTTACTGACCATTGTACTAAGTGGTTTGTGGAATCAATCTAAGCCGTTGTTTTATAGACCTTTCTTTTTTTTCTAGTTGTGTTTGTTGTATATGTCTGTTTCTATGAATAGACCAAAGTATATTATATCTTTATTTAGGTAGACGTACCAGACAGGTAACAGCAGTTTAATTGTTAATGTAGTGCAAAGGTCTCTGTCAAGGAATCCATGTTCATGTATCACTCTTACAGAAGAGTAGTTTACCATATTGATTGGTCTTTAGTGGAAACTGAAAATTAGACTTTACAGGTCATGTTTTAAATACATAAAGTCATTTGTTAAAACAAATATTTTTTTTCCAGGCAACATATTTTAAAAGTGTTTTTTGAATCTATCAAATTTTATTTTAGTAAAGCCAGAAATAATTAAAATTGATCTATGTATCAGTTTATGCATACAAAGGTACAGTGAATCTGAAGCACTCAGTCTCTCCGCTGGCAGAGGGCAAACACTTATGATAAGGTCATGTGCCACATATACCATAAGGAATGTCCTAATTTAAAAAGAAAAGATTTACTGTATTGACAAATTTGGAGCAAGGTGCTATATTAATACAAGGTGATAAAAACAATATCTAATTAACATAATAACTATACTATGCCTATAAAGTCCTCTAATTTTGATTTATTAGGGAGATATCACAGAGGTAGAAATGATTGACATATGGAGTCAATGTATATATAAACCAAATTATGAGGAAAATCTATCCTGTTTTTTTGTGAAGCAGGAGGGTTGATCAGTGGTTGCTCTTCAGCCAGCAAATTAGTGTAGTTTGTTTGAAGCTGGTTTTTCCTGTAGCCTTGGTAATTAAAATGAATTCTCATACATCTTGTCATTTCCTTAGACTTCATTAAAAAGGAGTCATGCTTTATTGGGGAGCTAATAACATTTAGCAAAATTAGAAGGCAGATTTTCCTGTAATAGGTTGCTCTCATTGTCTCTTAGGGACTGAGATGAAGTGACCTAAAACAATTAACTACAATTCTTAAAGGGAATCTATACCAAATTTTTAAAGTAATAATAGTTCAATATTCTATACCTTTTTAAATATAATTACAGATGTTTACAGTTTCCTCCTTTAGTCCCCTTTTTGACATTTTAAAGATAGGATTTTTGTATTTTTAATAGAAGAAGATTCTTAAGGCAACAAAAACATATACTGTTAAGGGATATAATCATAACATATAGTGTATATGATGTATAATTTTTTTTCCTATTACCTAATTTAATTTTACTTAGATTTTTCTACTTCTGCTTTCTTATTTGCTGAATAGAAACTTATTTCTCAGTATCAATATAGAGTTTTATTTAATGATTACCAAGCATTTTCAATTCTTCGGAAGATAGTAAAAACATGGATATGGCTTTCTAACCATTGTCATTCGGAAATTTTCCATGTTTATTGCTTCTGTATTCCCAAACTTTTGGTGAAAGTTACTTGATTTTAACCTCTCTGACTATTTTTTTAGTTATGCTATTCACTTACATGAAAGTAAATTTTTTCTCAACTCTACTGCTGTCTTCCAGCAATGCAAATACTAAAGTTTCTTTCAGTATTCAAATATAAAAACCCACAGCTGTCCAGTCAGTTCCAACTCATAGCCATCCCATAGGGTTTCCAAGGCTGTAAATCTCTACAGAAGCAGACTGTCACATCTTTCTCCTGCGGAGCCACAGGTGGTTTCCACCCGCCGACCTTTTGGTGAGCAGTCAATATCTTTAACCACTGTGCCGCCAGGGCTCCTTAGTATTCAAATACAGATACCAAATTTATGCCTGGAGTGATTGGTCCTTTTTCTCTTTGGAAAAACAAACAAACAAACAGAAAGTCTGCCTTAAATAAAAATTGAAGGATATAGTTTTGAAGTACTGCTTTAAAAATCTGTAATTTTGTTGTAAATACAGCTATATGAAACTTAAAGATGAATCTTCTTTCTCTTTTCCCCTCTTAGTTCTATACTAATTTTTACTTGTAATTTTTAGTTTAGTGTAGTTACCTTTTTTTTTTTAACTTAGAGAATAGGCACTAAAGAGCATGGCCTTGTTAAGTTAATATGTCATCCAGTTGGAAACTTTTAAAAAATGCCTGGATTAGGGAATTCAGACTAATGGGTGAAACACTGAACCCTTTAATTTAATATTGGGTTTAAAGAATTTGGAAATCTTATTCCGTTTTACAAACCTAAATCTAATGGTTGACTGTCCTAGATACACAGTTTGTTAGGCAAAGAATTACCTAATCTTCCTTGATACATTGTTCAAGAATGCTAAAATTTACAAACTTATTATCCAGATACCTTCTTAAATACACACACACACACACATACACACATGTATATTACTGACAGTTACTGAGTCAAACCTTTTTTGCAAAAAGTAAATTATTTCCTTTTCATTAATTAAATACTTGAAAACAAAGTTAATTATTGTTGTACCAGATTTTAAAATCAAAAGATAAGGATAATTTTTTCTCATGGAAGCGCAAACTTATTTCTTGATATTTCTATTCATTGCAAATAGTCATCATCTTTCTTTCCTGGGAGATCAGCTATGCCACCCTTAATTTTCACTTATTGAAAGGTAATGGAGTGCATTCCTTTCTTCTTCTAATATCATACATTATTTTGCACTTACCTTTTTTATTCCCTATTTATATGGGTATTAAAAATTGGGTACTGTCTGGTTTCCCTGTAGAAGTGTTATCAAGTCAGATGCAGTTACTGTATAACCATTGTTTCTTATACCCTAACATTTTGTTCATCTTTTCACCACAAGGATTTCTGGATCACATGGTTCCTGGATTTTTCTGATTAATTTTTTGGTTTGTCTTCATTCCATAGCTTACGCATAAATGTGACTATACTTTTGACTCTGTGACTTTATTTTGTATGACTGACCCTTTTGATTTTGACCAATTTGCATTTAATTTTTAATCTTTAAGTCTTGAGACAATTAGTTACTCTTTTATAAAACTTTATCCACAAATCAGTATCAAAGAATTTTTCTGCTGAACATATTCTAAGTTATTACTAAAAATGTTCAAAAGTTCTAAGACTAAGTAGCTCAGAATTATCAATGGCTAGGTCTCTTATTGGTTAGAGAGTTCTTTAGGTAGATTCATTATGCTTTTAAAAAACAGCATAATTTCTATTCAGTCTAGCTTTAATTTCTCTGATACAGTGTAATTATTTTCCAACAAGTATAGAACTTGGGTTCTCTTTTAAATCTATAATTATCATTCTTTTTTCAATAGTAGTAATGTGTTTTTTTGTGTTTGTTTTTTATTTTTAATATAGTTCCTGAAAAGTACAGGGTGGCTTGTGCTCAGGGAATACAGTGTGAACAAGAAATAAGGGACACAAAGACCCACAAATAAACAGCAGGAGGTAGGAACAAGTGATAAAGGGAAGCAGGAAAAAGCATTTGATGGATTGGAGGGTGTTCGGTGAGTAGGAGGGGAATGTGCAAGTA